TAGCTATGGAAATATAAACAAAGCAGAAATAGTATTTTGATCATATCAAGGCGACACGAACCACGCCCCCATACCAAATCTCCCTTTTTTTTCTATATCTATAGCGGCGGTATTCATACCGTGTGACCAGATAAATAAATGGTGCACCTGGTGGCAAGCGACACGCCTGTTCATAGCAGTTGTAATGCCACTCAGAGACTAGTCTCTGAGTAGTCGTAGTAGTAGTAGTCATTATTCACACATTGATTAATTATTAATCAGTGGCTAGCCACTGCGCTCGTCACCCTTAGACATAAGTTGACAAGTCTCATGTGCCTGTAATTCTTAGAGGATGGAAAAAAATAAAGGAAAGGAGCTGCCCTAACTACAGAATGAACGTGCATATTTAAACAAAAATTGAACGCTGCAGATGGCGGATTTCTTTAGTGTTGTACCATAATCTATCGATAAGTCATTATCGGCATGCAAATGTAAGGCTTGAATGTTAGATTGTTTTTTTTTTTGTTTCTTTAGTTTACTGTAATCAAAGTATGATTAAAACGTTTAATTAAAGTAGATCAATATTCCATTTGGTAATATTTTGTTCTATTTATGCGAATAATCGATCCTTATTATTCGCAGAAATATAAAAATGCCAAATTTGGCAAGATTTATGAATAAACCACTTAAATAAATCTAATTACATGAGATATTTGGGCTAGTGTGTTTACAATGTCGAAATGCGTCATGTACATAATAACGTCTGATTTATATATGTCAACATAACATGTAATTAGGTTTCCATAGTCTAAGCTGTAATTTCACCAGCACTCTTACCCTTCCAAACCGGAACACAGTAATGCTCCATTACTGCTTGGCGGCATTATTCGATCCGTGTAGGTACCTTATCATCTGAAATAACCAACCTGGGCTATCACTGCTCTTATTTAATTATTTATTATATCAACAGGAAATGTCAAACTCAAATGTAAAATTTTAAAAATTTTGTAAAATTATGTAAAATTTTTACATTCGAAAACGTCATTTTTTAAGCTACTGCTCGTTCACTACCCTGAGAAGAACGAGCAAGAAACTCTAGGGATTGCTCATTCCAAATAAACTTAAATGCTACGGAATACACTTTGAATCAAATTTGTAAGGATACTAGACTCATGTTGTCTTTCCATACATCTGACGCGTAGTCTTCAATTTTGTAATATGACTTTTCAATTAATATACTTTTAATGTAAGTTTCAAATTTAGGAAATGATAATCCTAATATACGCTACGGACTCTTAATGTATGCTTGCTTTAATGTTTTGGTCATGTAACGTGACCATTATTTTTTCTCTCAGTACGGGACGCCAAGTGCCTGCTTATTGTTTAAAAAAAATAAAGTATATGTTTACGATAGTTACGAAATGTTTAATGTATCTTATTTCGTTTCGGTAATATAAAATCGAACAGTCGATCTGACATCCACAGCGAAGAAGAACGAACAAAATGTACTATGTCCAGAGAACAAATAGTCTTGAACATAGATAGTTCTACCGATGAATCGAGAGCCTTCTGTAGCGTCATAAAGTGCATCCTTTATGCTCTGGCTACTACTAAAAAACTGTGGTGCGAGAATTTTTGTGATGTAGCATTTAAGATAGAATTACAAAAATTCCCGCACCCGGAACGCTTCCGCTGCCGCCTACGTGTAACCTGAGCATTAATCCCTGGTGTAAAAAGTACCTAATTTTTTAATTTACTTCGAGTGAACAAACAGCCAGTAGTACGCTCGGTTTTAGTTCCGTCCCTTTTCCGCATGGATGGTGGTGCCATATTATTTTCCCGCGTTAATGCGTTTGTTGTATCTGTGTCTGGTTGAAAAAAATACCGCGAAAACTTCAGAATTTTGGTTCGTATTTTTGTTGTAGAGCGAAAACGATTGACTTGTTTTTTCTCGCAATTGAAGTGAAAAGTTAATAAAAATCGAAGTACATTTATTTGCTACTACGCGAACCCAGTGATTTATATTCTTTATTTATATTGAATATTTTTTATGCAGTTAGTTTTTCCACCCTCCCTCCGCATAAAATTAATAAATTATAATATTTGCGCACAAGCGCAACTACAGTCACAAACACCACCACTAAATTAATAATATAATAGAAATTAACTACATGAAAAAATATTCAACACAAGCGCAACTATTTACTGGACGATTTAACCTCCACTGGATTCGTGGAGTAGAAAATTAACTTTCTTCCATTTTTATTAACATGGACTTGCGCAAAGTAACGTCTGAATCTATTAATTACTAAAAGTTTAGTTTTCACCTCGAGAATAAAAGCCAATAATAAACCTTTGGAGTATTTATTATACACCCTCGCTAAAGCCCGAGTGTCTAACCACCTCGGGTATATATTGGCTCCTTTTAATCTCTCGATAAAAAATATACTACTCCCTTTCGCGCCATTCTTTTTTTAGTTTAATGCCACATGTGCATATGTGTCTTATTTTGTCGAATAGGCACATTGTCAAGTATTTTGGGGATACAGGGACCGCTTTTATGCTTAACTTAAAAGCGGGACGTATGGTCATAACTTGACCATACGTCATGTAGAAAGTCAATGTTGGTAGATTGACGTCACAAATTTATAATTATGGCAACATTACGACATGTATGATCAACACGTTTTACTTTAATAAAAAGACTTAAGGTTATGGCAAATAAAAACTACATTACGAAATTGCACATGTTTATGGAAATATTTACTGAGAAATAAAACATTTTATTGCACCACGAAAGGAGTTAAATAAGACCTAAAATAATTACGTCTTACCATCTATAGGTACAGTCAAGGGTAACTTAAGCTTATTAGCAGGGATCGGAATAGGCACAGTTTTTTTATTTAAACTTCGAGGAACATAGACAGAAAATGGAGACTATCTTACGACAACAGTTTTTAGGTCCTGAACCTGTTCGGGTTTTGGGACATAACTTAAGTACATTAAAAATTTACGTAATTGGGGACAGGCAGGTACACATATTTATCTTAACTTTGCGGCACAGTGGGTCGGATCAGCGATATTGCGGACATTGGATTTTTTTCACGATACCTCTATAATCAAAATGCCAATCGAGGGATCCTATTGTCCTAATTAAATACTGTCATACCACATAGTGCCATAAATCTAATAGTTTAGTAGGAAAAAAATAAAATGAGTATTTTTGTATGGGACCATACCTTTAGTGCCTCATCGTTACAAAGTCTTAATCGATCCAGTCTTGGAATTACTACAGACATTTTCTTACGTGTATAAGTAGTGAATAGGCAGGTTTGGGCGCGCGTTTAGTGTGCAAATCTATAGAAGATAGGTCTAATAATACGTCTGTAGCGATTCCAAGACTGGATCGACTAAGACTTTGTAACGATGGGACACTAAAGCTGTGGTCCCATGCAAAAAATACACATTTTATTTTTTTCCTACTAAACTATTAGATTTATGGCAAAATGTGAATTTTAAAAAAAATCCGACATTTGTCAAATCCATAATTGTTGTGAACCATATTTACATTGTATTTATTTCCTCGCAAATGTGTAGCTAACTCAAAAACATGGGTTATTAAAGCCCTCAGCTATCCTCGTTAATAATTTCCTAAATACCGTCTATACACAATGTACTTTTAATTACAGTATATGCTTAAAATAATAAACAATAAATAATATTCTTATAATTACACAGTCAATAGAACATCAAACTTAACAATTTGGAACTATGGACAGGGCTCCGTCGCTCGCTCAGGGTTATGCGATAAGTGCCTACTGCTGAGTGTACCGACATCGCCACAAGCGCTTATACATGGCTTTCATTTAAGAGCATTTGGCTCCGCACGAATGCACACGGTGGCACCGTTAGTTTTGCCTCTCTAACCGCGTGCTTAGGTTCCTTTTTCCTCGTAGTTACCGCCTGATGTCATTAATCAGATTTAGTAGGCTATTATAGCGTAGGGATTTTCGATTGTATATGAGAGTGGTGTATCTGTTACGTAGTAATTATTAAGTAATCTGTGCTTTGGATCGTTGTTATCACTGCATAGAGATGAATTTAAATCTTAAGTTATAATTATTATTAATACAAAGATCGAACACAAAGAAGAATTCCTTCGATCCGGCTGGATCCGAACATCAGCCGCCATTAGGAATTTTTCTATGTACTTGTTGCAAATTTTTGTTTTTGGTTCTTAACGATTTTTGCTGTAGCGCCATCTGTGGGAAATACAAGAAAGTTTTTCGTCACTATTAAATCTTAAATGTCAACAAGTTCCATTACACAAGGCCACACAAAAATATACCATAATTTTTGACATAAATCAACTTTCAAAGTGCCACCAACTTATCTGTGGTTCCAAAGACGTCGTTTATGCTCTGCCATAGTTATCATAATTAACGTAATCGTCATTTTTAACGTAACTGAGTCATTAATATGTCTGTGGTCTAACCCCGTTATCTGTCTGATAGTCTGTCCTAAACAATTATGCTGTCAGATGAGGTAATGACCTGATGAAGGGAAAATTACCACAAGGTATCCCTCAAACCGTGACCAACAACAACAAACAACAACCGCGACCATGGGACCTGTAAAGGGCCCGAAACGTCGGTTTGTTTGAAAAAACAAATATACGGGATTTAAATCCGGAAAAATAGTTTCATTTCGTATGTGTAATAATCGCGAAAATTATTTTTATATTTATTATCTCCTGTGTTAAGTTCCGTATAGTGGTGAACTAGGGGATGAACCCGGGTTTGTGTTCCGGTAAACAATTCCAATAAAACTTGGTAAATAGATGTAATTCCACGTACTTTTGAGGTCGATTTTTTTAGTACTCTGTATTAAACTGAGATTATGTCCATATTATAAGTTGGTGGCTCTATAATTCTTCCTGCCAATCCACAACACACATTTTATTCAGAAGACGCATAAACACTTTTGAAACACACACGTTAAAACATCCCACATTCATACAGGTGACCTAATAGAACTGATCGGCACCTTCCCACACGAGAACTTCGACTATCAGAACACAAACCAATTCGAAGAACCGGTCATCATCTACACGGAGCCAAACCGGCCGAAACCGCATTACAACCGGCCGAAACCGGATGAGAACCGGCCGAAACCGAACCATCACCACTTTTTTCAAGTGAAACCGTCGTACCACGAAAGTACAACACAAACACCTGATGACTTTTACACGCCTGATCAATTTGTGCAAAGCAATGCTGGGAGTGTTGATGATTATGTGCCTGTACACACGAATGGTCACAAGCTACCGAGACCAAGTTATCCGGGTGAGAATACTTAACGGGTTTTTGAATGTCTCAATCTGTATAGTAGTTACGCTTTTATCTACCTAAACGCGTTGTGATACCGAGGCTTTTCCTGCAACACAGAATCAGTGTCATGCGATTCTGACGATGTCACACGTATGGCACTTTGCTCGAATTCAATTGCTTTGTGCATTTTTCAATACAAGAATGGTATAATACCTACTCGAGTTGAAAGATTTTTGAAATTCGACGTGTACCGTGTGTTCGCTATGTACCTACTTGTAACTTGCTTGCTGCCGGGGTTTTTAATACAACTCAGAATAGGTGTCATGCGATTCTGATGATATAATACGTATGGCACTTTGCTCGAATTCAGTTGTTTTACATATTTTCCAACATAAGGGCCGGGTAATATTCGAGTTCAAACATAACATTCGACGTGTACCGTATAACACTATTTGCCTACATAAACGCGTTGTTGCTGCCGGGGTTTTTCATATAATTCAGAATGGGTGTTGCGCGATTCTCGAAGTATGGCACATTCCTCGAATTTATTTGCTGAATTTTATATAATAAAAGGAAATTTTAAGTAACAATTTCTAAAAGAAAGACTGAAAGAAAGTTATCGTTTAACAAACCAATACATTGAAAACAATTTTATTTTGGAGTTTCCAACAAAATGCAGATTGAGACATCAAAGGTTACTTTGGTTTGGGTACAAAGTGATGGAACTCAAGAATCATATAGCACAAATCTCCTAGAAAAATAAATTTCATACCCTTGGATAATAAAGCCACATGTTATCACACGAAAATCATAAAAATAGAACAAATTACAAGCAGCAAATTATGTTTATATGTAAAATTTGATAAGAGTCTTCGAACTTCTCTCTTGAATAGTTGTTATTTGACAGATGTGGTCTTATTACGCTAAGGTGCGAATTTATATAAAAATTTTAAATTACACGCCATGGTACGTAGTTACACAAATAAATGGCATCGCAAGGCTCATTTTTACTCTCTTTATTATGCATTTTTCTAAAGTAAGATTGGTATAACTCTTTTCTACAAAACTGTTTTTATCTATTATTGACATAAAACTTGACACCTGACAATGTGCATCCAACATAGTCTTACACATTTTTTCTTGAGTTCCATCATCAAAATCTATCTTTATCGCTTCACAATATCACAAACACGCAGTTCCATAATCATCACGCACTTTAGACATTATTTTGTACTGCACTGCTTTCTGTCTTCGTAAAGCTTTGCAGCCACCATCTTGATTCTATTTTGGGTTGACATTCTTATGTCGCTTATTAAAGGCGGTTTTCCACAATTCGTGATTTTACTGATCACCCGCGCACCAAGGGAAAAAACTTTCCCGTAGTAACTCGAAAAACGGGCAGACTAATTATTAATATGAAATGGGCGGGATTCGTGTGTGGCTGTCGGTGGCCGTCAAATTTGTAAAATCACGGTCTGTGAGACGCCGTCTTAAGGCTTTATTTGTTTACGCTTTTTTTTTGTTAAGTTAAATGACCTTCATTCACAGTACCACTGAAACGTGTCTAGAAGAGCATTTAAACATTGTTAGTTAATAACTATAATATAATACTACTCACAGATCTCTAGGTCTAATGTTAACAAATATTTGAAAGCGGACTATAGTGTTTGAGCATTATACGAATACATGAATTACAGGCACGTTATGCTATACATCCGACAAAATGCTCTACAGTCCATCTTTAAGGTGCAAAATTGCTAATCCATCTCCAGATAAGAACAAACTAATTTGTTTACACTAAAATAATAAAACATTACTGTACTTGCTCGGGCTGACGACCTAGATCTCATTCGAGAGATTATAATAGTATGTATACAAACCCGGAAACTTCAAAAGACCATAATCAGACCTGGTTTAACAAATTACCCAAAATTTTCAGGTTGTGGCGAACACTTCACTCGCTCCAATCGTATAGTGGGTGGTCACTCAACAGGCTTCGGCTCCCACCCCTGGCAGGCAGCTCTGATCAAGTCAGGCTTTCTCAGCAAGAAACTGGCTTGTGGTGGTGCTCTTATCTCAGACAGATGGGTTATAACCGCAGCTCATTGTGTTGCCACGTAAGTTGTTTAAATTACTTGTAAACCTACTGCAAAATATTGCTACCGTGATTCGGATTTAGGATTAGGAAAGACCTTCTCCATCACCTAAACCATTTACTAATTGATTATCATTAAATGATTATCACCAGCGACAGTCTACTGTTTGTCGCTGTCGACGACTACCATCATCTCATTCTTCGTCTCGCTCATTTCCATGGCAACAGTCATTGAAGTGGTAACAGTCACTGTACTAGTACTTGTGACACTAAGGATTCTTTAATATCACAAATTGCTCACCGTAAGAGATGTGACCATAACAGACAGTAGGCTGACAGTGTTCCATTTACATTGTTACATCGTTGAAAAATAATATACCAGAATTATGCATTGTTAACCAAAATTGTTCTCTCGTTTTCAGGACACCAAATTCCCAACTCCGAGTGCGTCTTGGCGAATGGGACGTGCGTGATGCTGGAGAACGGTATTCTCACGAAGAGTTTGCAGTGCAAAGAAAAGAAGTACATCCGCAGTATGAGCCTGCGGATTTCAGAAACGATGTGGCGTTGGTGCAACTAGACAGGGGTGTTAGTTTTAAACAACATATATTGCCTGTAAGTGTGAAATCGAGATTTTTTTAGACCAATTTATTCGATGTCCGCTCGAATTAATTTGAGAAAATTGTTTGTCTTGATTGGCTCAACCATGAATTTAACATAGAAACTCGAAAACAATACTATAGCAGCTTGGTCAGTGATTAGTTCCTCTTTATGAACTCTTATTACAGTCCAGTATAGGTTCGTAAGAACAAAAAAGCGGGATGGCGATATACACTTCATGTAGCGCTGTCTCACTACGATTCATTTTAGGTTCTAGAGTCGTAATAAGACTTACTGGTAACTACGATACTCATCCTTTTCCTTAAGTATTAAGTGCTCATTTCGAAGTTCTTCTTTTATAATCTTCTTCTTTCATCATCATCAATCATCTTCCAATGATCCGTTTAGTTTTATAACTTGCTATATTTGATATGTGAATAATGTACTCATGAATTTTTTTCAGGTATGTCTTCCCCAAAAACACATAAAGCTAGCCGGAAAAATGGCGACCGTAGCAGGCTGGGGCCGCACCCGGCACGGGCAAAGCACGGTCCCGTCTGTACTGCAAGAAGTCGATGTGGAAGTCATTCCAAATGAGCGCTGTCAGCGGTGGTTCAGAGCTGCCGGAAGGCGAGAGACTATACATGACGTGTTTCTTTGCGCTGGTTATAAGGAGGTTAGTATGTTTAATATTTATATACGATAGGAATACGTTTGTCCACAATCTCACCTATTGTATGACACGAAAATACGCCTAGAAAATACCTGTTCACTCTGAGCTCAAAAATATTCAGTTATCGTTTGGGAAACAAAAAACAAAGTATATGCAATCATTAAAGATGAAGATAAATAATAATACAATACAAGTAAAACAAATGTACATAAAGCTATTATAGTATTCAAATAAGAATTAAGAAGGGAATCCAAATTATACATCCTTCATAGTAAAGCTATAACTTTTTTATATTAGCATTTAATGTGTTATTACAAAATTTAGGCATCGTTTTGGGCATATTTCTTTATATTACAGCTTGAAAATAGATTTTCTGTATTTAATAAAATAATTACAGTAGTTATAAATTAATAGTTACCTATATAAAAATATGTATATTATAAACATTAGTGGACGTAGAAGCGAAAAGCTTCATGCGAGTTGTAGTTCATCTATTTGTAACGTCTAAACCAAAAAGCTGGCCCAATACGTGTTGGGGACTTTACACATCTTCGAAATGTGTGTTGAAACTCTCCGACCTCTGCACATGATTCGAGGGCTCTTCACTCTCTTCCCTCTAGTAAAAACCATGCTCAAAACCTCCTACATACGTATATAGGAGTTCTATAACTCTAGGGCACCTCTACATGCTGAAGAAGAGTGAAGATTTAATGGATTTATTGCATGTTCATATTTTATCCCCTTCAGGGAGGTCGAGATTCCTGTCAAGGCGACTCCGGAGGTCCCTTAACGATGAAGCTGGAAGGCCGCAGCACCCTAGTTGGCCTGGTCTCTTGGGGCATCGGTTGCGGTCGAGAACATCTTCCTGGTGTTTATACCAATATACAGAAATTTGTACCTTGGATCGATAAACTGATAACGCCTTGATATACGGACGGTGTGAGTAGGAGAAAAAGGAAAAAAATTAGGATAACAGGGGACACAGGGAAAGGCAACTGGAGAAAAAGAAAAAATCCAGAAAAAACCTATGAAAGTAACAGTGTGAAGAAAGGGGTGTATGAGAAGAACACAAAAAGCAAAAGAAATAGAAAAACTGTTAGACCCAAAACTTGAGACAGAAAAACTTACTTAAATACATACTTATTGGAATTCGTATTCTTTGTATAATAAAGCCACATGATCAGACGTCAAAGGCGATATGAGCTGCTTGAAACAAAATTTAGACAAAAAAATATCAACTAATTTCGTAAAATCTTTTCTGCAGATTTCATTTTGCAGATCTGGCCTTATTACAACAAGGGTGTAAACTATTTATTAAAAAGGTAATGTTTAAATTGTGTTAAATATAAAATTTTGCAAAAGTATGACACTAAAATAAGACTCTTTGTAAATTATTTTGTATCTTTAAAGTTTTATATCTGGAAGTCCTAAATTAGGATTACGGACTATGTGGTCCAAATATTTAGTTCATAAGTTTATTTATTGTTAGTTAATTTTGTTTATATTTTTCTTTTATGTTTTTATAAATAAATTGTTCTTTATATAAAATTTCGTTGTTTTTATTTATTTATTTATTGTTCTTTCCACCTTAACAATACAAATTACAGGGTATTTATCGTAAAGAACATCATACAGTGAAAATTGTGAGGTGGAAGACTGGTGCCTAAACTAGGTTGGACCTGTATTATAGGTCACCAGGTATCCACCACCGGATCTCAATGGTACAATATTGTGATGTTTTTGAAATTACTAAGACGTTAAGGGTAAATTGGAGTGATGATTTGAAAATACACTATTTATTTGTTATTTTGAGAAAAGGTACTGTGACAAATTAGTTTCAACAGTAAAGTTAGTAATTGTGATAAGAAAGTGAATATATGTAAAAATTTTGAGTGAAAAGTGTGTATAATTGGTTAGGGGATGTACAGTGCATGAATGTGCGCGCGCGCGCTTGTGTGTGTGTGTGTGTGTGTGTGTGTGTGTGTGTGTGTGTGTGTGT